TTCTATGGGTGTTCAGTCTTTTTTTCAATGGGTCAATTGAGGGTGCAGACACCAGTGCTTCGGGTAATAGGTTCTAGGAATTGACGACTCGGTGTGAAAACCTGTATACCACAGGTATGTTGTTCTTCCATGGCTTTTCTACTCGCCTGCTATGTCCTCTTACTTACTTACTTACTTACTTACGCCTGTTACTCCTCGTGAAGGAGCATAGGCCGCTCACCAGCGTTCTCCATCCAACCCTGTCCTGGGCAATCCTTTCTAGCTCCGTCCAGTTGTAATTCATCGTTTTCATATCTGCTTCGATTATCCGACGCAATGTGTTCTTCGGCCTTCCTCTTTTTCGCTTCCCTTCAGGATTCCAAGTTAGGGCTTGCCTCGTGATGCAGTTTGACGATTTGCGTAATGTATGTCCTATCCATTTCCATCGTCTTTTCCTAATTTCTTCTTCAGCTGGAAGTTGGTTTGTTCTCTCCCACAGAAGGCTGTTGCTGATGGTATCCGGCCAATGGATGTTGAGTATCTTGCGAAGACAGCTATTTATAAATACTTGTACTTTCTTGATTGTGGTTGTTGTAGTTCTCCAAGTTTCAGCTCCATACAGTAGAACTGCCTTGACGTTCGTATTGAAGATTCTCACTTTGATATTGGTTGAAAGTTGTTTTGAGTTCCATATGTTCTTCAATTGTAGGAATGCGACCCTTGCTTTGCCGATCCTCGCCTTTACGTCTGCATCTGAGCCTCCTTGTTCATCGATGATGCTTCCCAGATATGTGAAGGATTCTACATCTTCCAGAGTTTCGCCATCAAGAGTGATTGGATTGCTGTTTTCCGCTTTGAATTTGAGGACCTTAGTTTTCCCTTTGTGTATGCTGAGGCCTACTGATGTCCTCTTAGATGTACCGATCTAGTGGGAAGAAAAAGAGAATATTTTAGGTCCCAAATTATTTCCTGGTGTTCTACTCATCAAAATTAGATCGCCCCTTAGTCTGTGATAGGACAGTGTGAAGAGGTTGTAACCGTAAATAAATCCCCAAAACAAATAGCTCTGTAAGTCTTCGATATTGGGTCCTGACCACATTGGTTCTAATGGACTCACCTAGCTGAAGGCGCTCGGTCGTGAATCCGCACCAGATCACGAGTGAGAACGCCGTGCTCAACATCCCGTGCAATCGCTAGATCAGTCGATCCTCGATATATTGATAGCCAATCAAATATATCTTCGAACCCCCTCGCTTCTGTCTTTTGATTTTACTTGATGGGTACGGTTCATAATAGGTGTTACTGTTTAAAGCGTTGTCAAACTCTAAATACCTGTGGCATTTTCAAGGTCTAGCTTTCAAACCCTTCTTGTATGGTAAACCCCGAAGTTCTGGAATTGCTCGGGTTGCTGCCCTCTGTACAAGTAACCGTCCTCTGAACTTTTTCCAAGATATCCAAGTCACATTTTAAACAGGGGTCTGCAACCTGAATATAGTTCTAAAAGTTGGATATTACTAAGGTTGTGTATACTTTAGTGAACATGTTGGTGTACAACTTGATAAATATCCATCTTAAAGCCTATAGAGTTCTGAAGCACTTATCTGAGACCTCGCGGTAGTGGAGCGTGGTCTTAAAATCATGACTCACTATCACTCCAAGATCCTTGTGAGACCAAACTATTGGGACCGACTCTCCTCTCATGCTGAACGTATTTATCTTTGTATCCACAACGTGCATGTAGGCCTCGTTGATAGGCTCCAGTCATTTTTTAGTCCACCTAATTGGGACATCAAAGTCCTCCTGAAGTGCGAGCGAATCTGCGTCTCTTGTTGTTTCTCTCCAGGTTCTTACACTATCGGCATACAGTAGCATCGGAGACTTAACCATACTTGGGATTTCATTTAAGTACAGTATAAAGAGTAAAGGACCAAGGGCTAAGTCTTGTGGCACCTCACTTAGTATTGGGCTCTAGGAGAAGCATTCGGAATATGTTCTTACTTTCTGTCTATGATCTATCAATCAATCCTTAATCCTTTCTAGGGGGAAATTCCCATATTTTCCAGCTTCAAGTGTAGTCAATTCTTCCGCACCTTATCAAATGCTTTACTGATGTCTACATAGACAACGTCCGTCCATTTTCCATTATCCAGAGCCTCTATCTATCGCTGTCTTGCTATAAGTAGATTTGTCGTGCAAGTTAATTCTCTCCTGAAACCATGTTATTCGCTGTCCAACAAGGTGTTGGGTCCGATGGATGTCATTATGGCCTTTTTACTATTCCTTCCAGAATCCTAACCAAAACAATTGTGAAGCAGGCAGATTTGTAGGTTGATGAGAGTTATCTTGATCCAGGTTTATGTATTGGAATAAGAGTTGCATCCTTTCAGTCAATAGGTAACTCGCCTTGACCAAGTGACATATTGAATATCGTAGCCAGTAAGGCAGCAGTGTATTATGCCATTTGTCTCTGGATTTTAAGGTGTGGTTCACACTGTTCTATTGGATTTTCCACGTCTAAAGTGCTAAGGGGCCTCAGTACGTTGTCGCTATCAAATTTCAAAGTGAGCAGCCGACTTTGTGACTTTGTATTTGGATCTAGTGTTAGTTGTGTCCATAACCAACCAGTCGAATCGTTACCTAAGTGCCCACCACGTCAATGTGGTCTGACATTTCTGTAGACTATCCCTGTTGCCTGTGATATGTCAATTGAAGGACACTGCTTTTCCATTATAATAATGTGACTCATTATTTTTATTAATTTCTAGAAGACACGCAATACTGGTCGGTATGCTTGTGTCTTCCACTAATTGACTATAATTCCTTTAATTATTATACTAATCTGATTGCTTTTACGTTTAGAAACAGACAAAGTTTCAAGCCAAGTTGTCCATGTTCTGGGTATAGCCTTCGCGTTTACAGTTCTAGTAGTATATCTGTAGGACAAATTATATCCCACATCTCGTCCCTCGTCTATAAGAGGCTCCTGAATGAAAACTGTCCCCGAACAGTTCGCCATGGCTCCTTCTTTGTCCTGGTCTTCGTCCGTAATAAGTTGGGGATCCAGTGGTGCACTTGTAGTGACTCACGTTTATCACGAGAACACGACTGGTTTAATAAAAACAATTATTATTATAACCAACTGTACCAGTGTTTGTTTTAATGTGCTTTTGTTTAACTGTGCTAATTGTAGCCTTTTTGTGCTTCCATTACCTTCCATTATTGTTCCGCGGTTTTTGGTACTGTTCGCACGTACTCCTGTCTTCTGCTTTCGCTTGTACAATTCCTTGGCACGATCTTGGTATTCGTTCAATACCACGAGATCGCCAACGAAATAAATCTGGTTACGTTCGATCCTCGCCTTCTGATTTATCTGGCACGTGTTTCTTGGTAGCGGTGTTCACAGTTAATCTCAACTCGACTCCACGCTACACACTCTTGTTCCATAATTTATGTACAATAACAGTCTCTTACGGCTGACTGATTACAGATTGGATCAACTGCTTCTTTTATTTTCACTGAGCTGCCCGAATTGTACTGGCACACATTTTTAGAACGACATGTAGTATTCCACCGCATCTGGTGTGACAAGGCCGATAGAGACACTTTTACACTTAATTTACTAGGCGTCTAGTGGTGTTAATTACCTTCATGTCTATCTTCTATATGTTGGGCTGTATCAGTGCAAGTTCTTGAAAGATCATATTAGCCATGAACCTGAATGTGATGACCATATTATATGTTACTCCTACAGGTATCTGAAATGCAATCTGACTGACATCACGACTGTGAGTGAAGACCAAGTCCAAAACAGACAATGAGTTTTGTAGGTCATATCTAGTGGGGCATCTTATGTGCCGGAATCAATCTAAGGTGGTTGGGGTTTCTAACAATTTGTAATCAAGCGATTTTTTTGATGTCCCTACTTATAAGTTCTTCCAATATGTAATGAATGTAGTAAAGTCATCTACTACAGTACTTTTTTCGTGCCTTAAGGTAACCCTCGTGCTATTGATAGAAGAAATCAGACAAGTAGTGAATAGGTCTTTATTTCGATCTTCGTGCAGTCACAGTGAAGCGTCTGTTTATTTAATTAGACAAACAAAGCCTCTCAACATTCAATGTAAGATAATAGGAAATATAACGCTTATACAAAATAAGGAAGTGAATAAATATTTGAACTATATTGTTTTGGCATATGCTTGGTTGTTTGAGGTGAACTCTTAACCAACCAACCTAGGCTGTTACATTAGCTTCCCCCTCGAATCGACTTCCGTAGGAACGTCGGTTCGATCAACGTATCTATCTGTTTTCAATCATGTTCTCGTGATAAAAGTAAGTCACTACAAATTCAACTCAATCTGCTTTTAAATTTTATGATCACCATCTCACAAATGGTGTCAGCGTGAGTGTAATTTGTGTAGAAAATAATTGTATTCATGACAAATTCATTCTTTCTTTCAAATTGAAGTCAGATCATCTGACGATTTTTCTTTGGAGAACGTCAGCCTTTTATATAACTGCTTCTAATGATCTCCCCTGACATCTATGGGTCTGAGAATATTCGTCGCATGAGGGTTTCAGGATGATGTGGAGTACACTGCATTTCAGTATCTGTTGGTGTATCGTATGGATTGTTCACCGACTTCATCTTTTCAGTAATCCTTCAAAAAACAGGATAAGAACGCGTAGTTTGTTTACAAGACTACACTACAAACATTCCAACAACGTATCCTTATTGTCAGAAGTAGGTTTCTCGATCTATTAACACCCCATGTCTGCATTACGACCTTCAAGAAGCGTGTTTTCTTGTGATGGAATTCATTTGTCGACAAGCGTTTAGGACTTTTCTGGTTTCAGTTAAGTTTTAGTCCGGGTGAAAATTTCGCCATACTGTCAGTGAGAAATAAAACTTTTCTGACTCTACTTAGATTAGGTTTATCTTACAAGTGTAGGTTTATGTTTCAGTTGTCAACAGCCTTTTGATCAACTCTGTTTAAAATCATTTAGTAGGGAAATCATACATGAGAACAACGAGTACTCAGTGAGTGGCACTGCAGGCACATATGACCAACGTTTTGTAATGGCGATTTTGCGTTTTCAGTATGAGACTCATAGAAGCTTGAAGATGTCAACTCATTTTACTCATCATATCACACTACCATTTATGCTGCGTGGCAATAATCTTATCATCAGTATAAAAAATATTTGGTCTGAACTGTCTTTCGAGGTATCTAGAGATTATTTATCAAGTGCCAAATTATAGAGGATACATTAATTTTAAGTCAAATAGTCAGCCTGGGTATTTGAACCTACATTAAAATAGGCGTACTCACGAAAAAAGTACGTACATGAGTGGTACACGTGTGTTAGCCGCTTTTGATGAAAACAATCACGACCGAAAAATTTATCACGTAATTAAAATACCTCTCTCTTAAGAAACCCATTACTACTGCAGCTCACTAGCTAGACTGAACCAATTTTATACCACTGGGATCAGTAAACACTACTGAACATCAAGATTTTAAGGCACCTAATGACATTGTTTAATATCAGTGTGACAAAAAGATATTGGATATAGAACCACGGCGTGACCTTGCACCTAAGTTTATGGCGGCTTGACCCGCCATTGGTACCGGTTGATAAAGTGGGTTTTTCTTTAGCCACCTGTAGTTGTTGCACTTACAGTTTTCTCAGAGATATCATTCTTTATTTCTGACTTAGTAGACTCGTCGTTTAGCAGCTTTGAGTTTTTGAGAGTCAATTTGGTTCCGACTATGTGAATCTTTTCCAATGAGTCATTAATTTATGTAGTCAAACTGTTTCTTTTCTGCATTGAAATCCAAGACTAAAAAATAATGTTTTTGGTTCCAGATGTTTCGTCATCCCAGTAAACATACGTTCCTGTAGGTTCTACCATGCCAGGCAGGCCGATTGGAGAACGGTAAGACTAAAAGCAGCAACTCAAGGTCTGAGGGCGAAATCGAACTGCTGGCTGTAGAGGGGTGTGACAAAAATAGGGTGTTTCCCTCGGACAACCAGCATCTACAGCGACGCTACCTTCTCACCAGGAAGGAAGGGGTTAGAAAAGGTCGACCCTAAAAATGTCACACCTCATCTTACCTCACGAATTTCCGTCTCCGGCGGTAAGGCCCTTTGAAAAACGGAGCTAACACGTCAAGAACCTCCCACAAAAGGGCCGCGCGCGACCGGCCTCAAGCAGTTGTACCTTGGGCTCTGCGATCACGCTCCCAGGCCGTAATGGCCGACATTAATCCGAATTCCTTTTCAAGTTCCTCAAGAAATACCCTTCCACGGTGTGGGCAGCCGGGAGGTGACACCAGCTCTCATACCCGTGACAGCACACGAGACAAAGTTGGTCACATTCAAATCCTTCCTACACCTATTACCTCTTATCTCCACGGTTACTCCTTCTCCCGCCGCCATTTCAAACGATTCTAGTACGCGGAACGTTATTCCTGGTCTCCTGAAACCATGCTCTAAACTACACGTAGGAGCTTTCAACGTCCGAACACTGTGCCAAATAGGAAAACATGCTTCCTTAGCTAGGACTTTAGAATCCCGCGACTGATTTGCCTCCACGAATGCAACTGGTGCTGTATTTTCATCTTTGCTCATAACGTCAAACTACGCGATCATTTACTTATTCAAAATTTCATAATTGCTGGTCCAATACCCCTGACCAAGTGGTAAAAGTATATCCGAGCGAATGCGTAGCCTGTCCCTAGCATCCACAGTTTTAGGCCCCTAGCCTGGTTAATTAGCTTGACATATTTTGCTCCCAGGCGAAGTATTTCAGTCTTTAATGCATCATGATTAGATCTTTTGCTCTATAAATTCTGTCTCACAGTTCTAGCTACTAAGTTCATTAGCTGCCTAAAGAGGTATTCACTGTATACGTAATATACGTTAAGATGTTCATTCTTCATACAGTAATACAAACCGCTAAAATAGTCAATACAAAGCCATCTGGTCCAAAAAGGGCGTAGTCACTCGAGTGAAAAGAGTTGTCACGTACCACTTTATCTGCTCCTTTTATTTAAGATATCCTTACAATGAAAGGATATTAAATAAGAGACCATATTATTACTTATGAGGGGTAGCATGCAAATGGTGTTTGTGGTGGTAATAGACTAACTAGACTCAAGGTTCTCATTCATTCCGACCGTAAAGATCAGCCAGTTATAAATGGTTACCAACAGCGATTATTTGAAATCCTGGAAAACGAATTCAGTAAAAATCTGTTAATCATATAGGAATGTGTTTGGTGAGAGTTACCTAGCAAGATTCTAATTGTATGTAATAGCCAATACCGTCACAAAGTATTTCCACAACGGTATGCTTCTTTCTGTCCGAGTTATCGTAATTTACAAGAGTAGATGATATTCGTAGGTCACTAGTATTCGATCATAGGTATCTTCGAAGCGTTGCTCGTATATCCTGGGACCACTAAGTAAGTAATGCAGTTGTTAGGGGACGGGTACTAGGTAAGGATGGCAAATCAATTGATGAAGTAGTGAAACTTCTTCAGCAGCGGCAAGATCAAAACAGCACAAATCCATGAAGTCATTGACAAGTGGACTGAGGCATGTTGGTAGGTATAGACTACCTGGTCGGGATCCGCTAGACGACAGCAACCGATGGTTAGGCCTTGAATGACACGACTCAAAATCGTTTGCAATGGCACAGGTGCATCCACTCGTTTTGTTTTCCCAAATTCTAGTCTTCTGAATTCTTATGTCCATTTTTTTCTCTTATCAAATTTATTTCACTGGATTATACTCTTTGAATAACACCTTCAAACCCTAATTTTTCCGATTACTGCCTTTACTTTTACTACCTCTACCACTAAAGTATTTGAATCGACAATTGTATCTCTGTGTTAATGTGGTATGGTATCGAGCTAATGTATGTACGTACGAAGTTATTTGTTGACTGACTGACTGAATTCACAACAGCTTTTGAGGAAAATTTATCATTCTTATGTTATTAGTAGCAAAGAAAAAATCAAGTTGTACCAAGCTGTAATAGTACAGTGGTGAAAATTGTGAAAGTAAGAAGAAAATGGTGTCTGTCTGGTTTATTTTGAGCCATGTTTCTCCAGACCTTTTTAAACCATAATCTCAACCTATAGCCTCCCACAGAGACATTGATACTACCATCGTTTCGATCCTTATGTTATTCATCTTGCTAGATTATACTATAATATGTCAATTTGAGCTAACGCTCATTTTCCCCAGGTTTTGCGTTGATTGTAGCTGCCTGTCGTTCGTAACCATAAGCCACGGTTACTTCATTGTGCCTGACCTGTAACCTGCGCCAAGGCATGTCAATTGTTTTTTGAATTTTCAGTTGAACGTCAACAAGTAAGCCCGTTTGTTTGCTAAGTACAGAAAATGGAGTGGAAATGATCAGACTGTGTTCTGTTTTCGGACTTCGATCTATGTTAGCAACAGATTCAAGAACATTATTTCCTGTGTATTGTGGTTGTTTGGTTCTATACGTACATTTGAAAACAGTTTAAGCGGACCATGTAGTGTTAAAGCCATTGACAAATTATTTTGGTAAGACAATGTAAAATCTTCAGTAAGTTGCTACGGAGTGATAATTCAGTCTGTGATTGAATTATTAGTATATTTCGCTACTAACCTCGTAATTTATTTTTATTTAAGTAAATTTAGAGAGATGGAGTTTGATGTATTTGAAAAGTTAAGTGAACTGGAGACTGAAATCCACATTTTGAAGAAGGAACTCGAAGAAAAAGATGCATTCATTCAAAACCTGATGGACAAAAATACGGACTTAGAACGCCGTCTACTATCTCTCGATCAAAACAGTGTGACCGGTGAAAATAATTTATCACGTGTAAAAGAGATTGCTCCCAACGGTTCGAATACTACTGATTCTAAAACATATGGTGCAATCGCGTAGTGAAAATTTATATTCCATTCTTAGGTGCATCAATAGCTAATATGCTTAAAGAAACATCGGAAGCTGTTGTACGTAATACAGGCTACACATTCGACGAACGAACTGGTTTGTATTATGATCATAAAAGTGGCTACTATTATGATCCGGTATGTTATTTTAAACTTTCATTGAACTTCGCAAATAACTTTAGGAAAATCAGTTATTTTACGAACCCAAAACCGGGACATACTATAAGTACAATTCAGAAACTGGTGAATATACAAATTATACTGCATCAGAAGACGATGCTATGAATAGCAAATTCAAGGAATTCTCTCACCCGGTGTATGCACACTTACTAAAGGTAAGAAGTTTCATCCATAAGTGTTGATTATATTTTAAAATTTCACGCGCAAATTTGTTTGCTTAAAACAAATATAGATTGATTGAAAACTTTCTTTTTTGTAATGTTCCAGCCTATTCTGTTTAATTATTTTAGGTCAGTTTATATCGAGTCATCGGATCATCAGTGGAGATACAGTTGTACAGAAAACAATCAAATCCACTCGAAAGAAACAAACATTTGACATTTTATCTCGATTTCCTTACTTACGTACTCTTTTATTTTCATTACTTTTCACTTTCGGGATGTAATTGTTCGGGGTGTTGAATGAAGAAAATGCAACAGCGCCACAAAGCAGAAAAAGAAAACGATCATGGTTACCTATCAAAGACTGTATCTAGACAAAGTCGGTCAACAAGCAGTGATATTGGTCATCGTAGAAGACGGAAAAGTCGTAGTCACTCTGGTTCGCAATACTGTCGTTCATACTACAAACATAGATGTGAAAGTCCATCATTTCATAGACATACAAGGCGCAGACAAAAATCTTACAGATACTCCCATCGTTCTGGAAGTTCTCGTAGTGATGAAAGCCGCTATAAACGTAGTAAACATCGGAGAAGAAAACACTCCCATCGACGCAGGCATCGGTCATCTTCTACTACTGGTTCTGTGTGTTCGTACAAAAGTCGAAGTGAGTTCTTCTGAACTTACCGCCCATATTGTGAATTTATCTTTCATTTTTTTGTGTATTAACATTTCCATCCCACTTTTTCATCTTTTAAATTAGTCAATGCGTGAACAAGTTTCCGCTTAAAGTACGTTACTTTATTCAAGAATGCATTTATTCATCGTTTTATTTCTGTACATGAGTTTTATCAAAATGATGAAGAGGTGCTTTTTCGCTATTTCTGTGTGATGCTTGATTAAAAAGTGAGATATCTGTAAATCCTATCTAAAATGCTTATTATTATTACTATTACTATTGTTATTATTATTATTATTATTATTATCAGGTTAAGAATAATAATATGTTGAATTTTCATTCAGCAAATCAGTTTTGTTGATATTAGGTCATCGATTTATTTGTGTTTTTCCATAGATTGTAATTAGTACAATATTTACTACTTTTCGGTGAAATATGTATATACTTGTCAATTAGCAAAGCTTGATGTGTCTTGTCCTATTTACAAGATTAGTATTTATGATACAAAATACTTTTTCTTTTGTTTATGATGGAAAATAGCGGGTAGCAGTTTCTGGTCTCGATGGCCATGTTTCATTAATAAGAAAACTTTTTATGGGTGTACATGATCAACATAACTGATATTCGTAGTTGAAGTTAGTCCTAACGATATTATTAGCGATCTAAATAGTCTGTAGGTGATATTCCGTTATTATTGTCTTATGAAACAACACTTGCGGTTACGCAGACTAATTTCGAGCAGAAACTATAATCTGTTATTCTAGAAATTTTCACACGTTTAAACACTTACATTAACGCTATGTTTTTTACATAGCTGCTAATCTACTAGTTTCATCTCATAACCATCTTTCTCTCGTTACTAAATTGGTCTTTTTATTTCGACTTGTTCATTTTTGAAAAATGTTTTGTAATGTTTTAAAGCTGTACTGTGTTAAATCACTTCAATAATATGAGTAGTATTTTAGTTACCAGCCGCTTAATACTTGACAATTGTGTTGTAGACTATATCTCTTCTATACTTGGTAGCACACAAATCTTTATAAACTTTTCAAATGCTTCTTTAATCGCACCAAAATTTACAAGTGTATTAGATAATTTAGAACAAATTATTTTGTTATCATTTATTGCTTTTTTTTGCAACTAATGACATGTCAGGAAGTACGCTTATATCCCTTAAACGCCGTTTAGTCGAATTAAAAATATTTTCAGATACAATTTGTTTTTTGAACGTAACTAGCCTTTGTTTTAGCTTTAAAAGTTCTTTAGAGTTAACATTTGAAAGCAAACGGTCGTCAAACGGAGAGCTCTACGGATTTTACAAGAATCATCAAGAAAAACCGTAAAATCTAACTGGATGAAAATCAAAGTGAATGTTGTACATTAAATAAATTTCTGGTTAAATATTTTGTCTTGTAAATTTTCATTTTTAGCTGCCAGCCTTATTCAGTAAATTGATTTGTGCTGTTCTTTCAATGACTGGCTATAACGTTTTAAATTTGGGAAATCATCTGTTGCAGTGTATTTGTGTTTCAAAGATACAATTATCAATTGCTCAGTGGATACTATCGAAGTTTTTAAAGTAGGATAAATGATTCGACCAATTACAGATGTTCAACAATTTTTTTATTCATATTTCATTGACTGATTCGTTATAGAATTTTATTCGATCTAGTAACTAATTTTGACAGTTAAGATAATCTGACTAGATCCTCAGCCACCACACTTCGAATTTGTTCTGTTTAGGGTGAATGGGTCTATAAAACTTTTAAACCATCGAAACAAAAGCTTAGTTTATATGTAGTTGTAAATTCTAACAAACATCATTTATTCTTGTAGCGGTGTATATCAGTATGATTAGGTTGTGATAGCGAATTTCGAAATCCCTATTTTTTTAGTATCAAGTAAGTTAATGTACGAAATACGAATCGTTAAGTAGTTTCTCCTATTTCTGAACGCAGTCAGATTTTACATGTGATGTACGTTGCCGAAGACTAGTATGTAATATCTAAACCGTCGTACTAAGACTCATGTAAAAATGTGGATTCGACTACTCCCACGGTTTACCGCTCACTGCTTTATGATAGGTTTTTATTTCAAATTAGCTTCATCGCATAAATTTGATTTTCTTTCAATAAGTAAAGTTCGTTTTAGTTTTAAAGAAGTAAGCACTGTGTACATCTTAGTACATAGCACTGAATATGTACCCGTTGCACACAACTAGTAGCTCATGGATGGAGTGATATTTACTTTGTACCAAATAGTTTAGATAAAAAAAATAGTGTTTTGTTTATTAAATTTCATTTTCCTCTAAACTGTTTACATTTATTTGGTACCACGCGAGTAAAACTTCAATCTTGTTGTGTCTTTTCTTTCATGACCTTAGTACGTGTATGTAAATGAGAGAATTGATGTGGTAGAATCATAATTGAGTCTTCCTGATCCGTTTATCATGTTGGGTGCTTAATATCGAATCTGTCAACAATTTTCGATCTTTGAAGTAAGCGTATTGTTTTAAAGTATCCCCTAGTAGTTATAAGGGTCGGCGGAAGTAAGTAAAACATAAGGATTGGTATATTATCCACTTATTATTTATGGGATTGATATGTTTTGGGCCAATTATGTTCGAAGGGTAAACAGGATAGCAGTTCTTCACCATGGATAATATTGGTTCAAGTAAGTCAATCAGTCATAGTGAACCTGGCACGAATGTGTACATGTTCATTCAAAGTAAGTCCGAAATTACAGTCCTATATTTCACAACGTCGTTAGCTAAGTTGTTGGGTAGGTGGTCTGTAGGCTGCTTTTCTTAAATAATCAGGCAATAGGCAATAATTTATCAGACAGGTTTTGGTCATAGGTATGATTACCGTTCGATCTATACTCCTTAGTTGTGGCAGAAAGGTGATTTAGCTAACCCTTTCCCATACTATAATACAAGAAGTTACTTAGTTTTTTATTTCTTTTTGTAAAGTTACTCCTCTCCGATAATCTTTCCTTATTGGCAACTTTTGCAAACGCATGTGGAGGTTTTCCTTTGTTCGTATTCCCTCTGTCTCCATGTACATCAAACTTGACATTTTGTCGCCGTGTTAGTCCTCACGTTTAGCTAATTGTTTTCAGCGAGTTCCAGCTATTTTTCGACCACACTTGCGAAAGGCTCTATTCGGTTGATGGAATAATACTTTTAGATATCTGCTTTTATCTCTTATTCTCATCGTGTTAAAAATACCTAACTTGGTTTTGTTCGATGTGTTCGTCAGTGTAATACATTGGTCGATGTAAAATCATTGAGTTGGTTCCTATTGTTTTATTTCGGTCTTGTCTGCGGTACATAATTTCATCATTCACTTTTTATGTTAGTCATAAAAATAATTCGGTCAATAGAGTAGATTTTTCCCTAGGCCGTCAATAGTAATCATTTTCCGGAGTGTAGGGATGATTCAGAAGGTACAACTCCCTTAATTTATTGTTAATTGTCCAACCAAACCTCTGCCTAGGAGTTGGCTTTTTGATTAAATAAGAAATGCTGATTCACATGTATTTATCAGAAAGGCAGTTAAATCATAATAATATTACCTGGGTTCAATACTTCGTTATTTGGGTTTTTTAGTAAATAACACGTTCGTCCCTAGAAGTTCATGTTTGTTTGTAGCCCTGTCATTACAAAAACAAATCACAACTTGAATGGATATGAAAAAATTTCCATCATGAAAGTAAATTATCGTAAAGTTTGTCTTCGTATTATTATTATTACTTACTTGGCTTTTTAAGTCTTACACAACTGGTGACTTTTTTGAATCCTATAATTAAATTTGGGGTATTAGAAATTGTCGTACTCGAGCGGTTCGAAGGACAACAATACTTTCGAAAAATACCATTCGGAATATAACGATTCTATTGTAAAATAGAAAATTTTGAGTTGCGCGTTACAATAAATGTCACGTTTCCCCTATCACATTCACTCGTTAACCCATGATCTTGTAAATACTGAACATAACACAAATATATCTTTGACTGGAACGTAGATGATTCAACATCGAGATTAAAATAACTTACTGGGAAAAGTTTTGTTCTAGGATGACTTTTGTCAAAATAAGGTGCTGTACGACTTGCGTTAAATTCATAACAGTTTGAAATTGCTTTATCAGATGTATGTAAAATTTCTCATTTCTCGAATCGTATGCAGAGTAACAGGATAACTTGTATCTATCTCAAGGTGACTCTAAAGCATAATTACGCGTAGTAAATGTAATAACACTATGTTTGAGGTCCCTTGCAAATTTCAGAAGCTACTATCTAATTAGTAAAGTTCACACACAAATACTTCATCCTAAGTTAGTGAAATAACTGCGAAAAGTGATGAACAAGAAATCCAAAAGTAAAGAGGACGGTGTCAATGAATAACATTAGAAAACTGTTTAGACTCTTCAAAAAGACATGAAGGTACGCTAAAAAGTCTGGGTAATGATCCATTCGAAAACAAATCGGTCAGGTATTAGGTAAAACACTGAATAGCAATTTAGTAGGCCTGAGGTTCCCAATATTTCATCGACAAATTAGATACGAGGTCGATATAAGGCTTTTAGAAATCTTCAAAGTTGAAAAAGCCATAGCTAACCAGTAGCGATATTGGCTGTGATATTTTCTCGAAATGTTAGTAAATTCATCTGTTATGCTTGAAACAAAATCTCCCATAACTGTAAGATAATTCTCCTGGGTTAGTCTAGATGTCCCGTAGTTTGATTACAGGGAGTAGAGTGCTCAAGCACTCTGGTCACTTAACTTATTTTGGCGGTCTTATCAAACCTGGTGGTTTGATATCTAATGAGATCTCAGGACGAATACACAAAACTCACCTAGTTTGTACTGTTGCAATACACCTGTAACGTAGAGGGGATGTTCGCCTGCCAGTGAATGGGAGAGTACACTGCACAGCGGTCAGCTCTGTATTGTTCTTTGACTAAATTTATAACCTATGAGAGTAAATA